GCTCCTATGATGCTGCTTGGCCTGCTGTGTTCATCCAGCTCTGCACCTTGTTGTCTTGGATTCTCCAGCATCTGCAGTTCCTACTATCTCTAATGCGTAAACCTTAATATCTGCTGACCAGAAGGCTACATAGCTACCAGGGATGAACTGTCTGTTTTGGGATCATCGCATTTTGCAGGAAACGGATTAAAAGCAGCTGTGATCAGCTGCGTGATCTGCTGCCAAAGTTTGAAGGACGAAGGAATGATATGGCATCTGTCTTGGAGATGACCGTGAAATACCTGGAGCTTGTTCAAACCCTTATCCCGCCTCAAGAACAATTGAGAGTGAGTAATTTCCTCCTGATTTTTAAAGTATAGTTACATTTTTTTTTTTAACAATTCAGTCATTTGTTTTTTTCCTTCAAACTCTCCGAAACCTCCAAGCAGTCTATAATGCTTGGGTTTTAAAAAAATTTTGGGTCCCAAGTAATTTTTTTTTTAGCACCTCTTGTACCTAAGATGGTGCTGTGTGGTGACTTTATACATTTTTTACTGTACTTGTGTACTTCAGTACATGTGAGAATAAAATCAAAATCTAATTGCATTTCAAGCCCTGTCCAAGCTCAGTGAGAATTGGCTAACTCTGGGATTGAACCTGGAATTTTCTTGGAGATTTGCAAGCCATAAACAAACTACAGTAGTCACCCCTCCCCTTTACCTGACTGACTATACATAAGAACTAGAAACTATTTGTTCTGTTATATCCTGGGTGAGAAATTTTTGTCTCATAGACTGGCATTACATGTTGGCTATCTGTCTACAAATCCCATGGAGAGCTGTTAATATTAAAAAAAATATATATACCTTTAGCACCAGTATTGAATCTAAAATGTACTTATTTAATTTTTGAGAATCTGGAAGGAGTCTGCAAAGTTGTTAATTTACTTCTGACACTCGGGTTACTGCCTTCGATAATGCAAAATTGCTTTTTGTTCAGATTTTATCCATACCTGAAGGGCTATATGAAAAATGGCAAAAGCCGACTCCAGAGAGAAGCAAGAAGACAAAAGGGAAAAGAAAAACGTGCATGTAAGGTTGGAGCGGTATTGTTCATTTATGTTCAGGCCTTGGGCACTTTGTTTTTGTTCCACACCTTGGAAAATTATTCATGCAGCTCCAATTTAACTATTCCAATCCAGAGTGCCTAGCCAAGGGGAAATTGAGTTGCAGCAATTCTCTCAGAAAAGAGGGATAGTTGATATATTAAGTAAAGCCTTAAAAGTGCTGTTGTTTATTTTTTGATTTGTTTAGTTATTGTTGGGTAAGCTATAAAATATACAGTTCCAAATTTGGAGACTCTTGGTCTCTTGCCATTTGTACTATTCTTAACTTCATGATCTTTCCGTCAGAAAAATGACTGACAGCAAATGATTTATGACCCATTCACCAATTTGATGTATGGTATAAACTTTGGATACCTCTAGCCTTCTACCAAAGATCCTCTCTCAGCACTTTCTAAACCCACGACCACTTCCATCTAGAAGGACAAGGGCAGCAGATACATGGGAAGACCACCACCAGTAAATTCCCCTCCAACCCACTCACCATCCTGACTTGGGAATGTATCGCTGTTCCTTCACTGCTGAGTCAAAAATCCTGGCATTCCCCGCCCCACAATGGCACTGTGGGTCCAACACAACAGGTGAACTGCAGCAGTTCAAGAAGGCAGCTCACCATCACCTTCTCAAAGGCAACTAGGGATAAGCAATAAAGGCTGACCCAGCCAGCAACCTCCACGTCCCACAAATGAATATATTTTAAAAAGAGAATTTCATTTGGGGTTGGGGTGGAAATGTAGTGTTACTTCCTTATTTCAAGGGCTTCACACCACCAGTGGCATCATAGGAGATTAGTACTCCTAACAGAATGGCTGTCTGTTATTGGAAGGAGGTATGTGTTCATTACTGGTGGTGGGGAAATGGATGAGAGGTCAAATGGGCCTGAAGCTCTCTTTGAGGAAGAACCATAAATGTTTGTTCAGATAGAGATCTGAATCCTGACCTCAGCTGGTCAACTCCTCAATGTTTTGCCTCCAGTTCTTTTTTTTAGATGTATGTTCTTAATGTGAACAACACTTTCACTTTTTTTATGTTTCTTTTCATTCAGCAGCAAAAAGGACCCAATGAAAACTTGCACAATTCAAACTCCAAAAGGGAAAAAGCAAGCCTTGGCTGAAAGTTCAGGAATCTCTCTGAATTTTCCACAACTGAGCATCCCAACTGTTTCAGGTTAGCTCTAGCAACTAGACCTGTAAGTGCCGTTGACTTTGTTTATTTCTAGCACTAAGTCAAATTGAACTTGGTGTAAGGTCGGAAATAATTTATTTTGAACCAAGAACAATCTTGAAGGGTGTAGGCAGTTCTGTAACTTTTTGTGTGGAAAGGGTCTGTTAATATAAATAGAAGGATGATAGAATTAGTGAGGTTACTGGACTGTCAGTCCAGGGGCCTGGACTAATGTGATGGAGACAAGAATTCAAATCCCACCATGGCCACTAGGAATGTGCTTTTTAAAATTTATTAATTGGTAAATGTGAAACAAAATGTTGGCATCATTGACAATCTGAGTTTCACAACACAATGGTTCAGAAGTAGGTTAGCACTTAGCTTCCATCCTAAATACAATCTTGGATCCAAACTCCTCTTTAAGAGGTCAGTTAGAGTCTGTCATCTTGTACCACTAGCTGTTCAATACAAGTTACCTCACCAACACCACTTCCTGGGCATTGGTGTATGGCCAATATGTTAGCCTTGCTGATAGTATGCATATCTCAGGAATGGAAGAAGGAAAAATTAATTAAAATCCTTTTTGTACATATCACTTACAGATTTCTTTTTTTTTTTTTTACCCCGATGACAGAGTAAAAGGGTTTCTTGTTTAATAATTGGCAGTTTGATTGAAATGTTTGAAAAGCAATTATTTTTTAATTTCTAACTCTGGTAACTGTTTAGTAGATGGCTCTGACAGGTGTTTTTAACATGCTTTCATAGAATAATAACGAACACATGCTTGTCTTTTTTAAACAGTACAAATAAACTGGGTTTTTCTTTTTGTAGAGCTGCAACCAACACTTCCAGTCACTAACTCTTCTGAACAACATGTGCCACATCCAACCAACTGTTTATCAACCAAATGGTTTACAACTCTCCCTGGTGCAGATCAAAACCATCAAAATCTTCTGAACACCAGTTCTAAAACGCTTGCTTCAGTCCCACCAAATGGGTTTGTGTCTCAGTTGCCCCTTTTTGGGAGAGGAGAGTTTTTTTTAAGTATTCAGAATTCAGGTGTTAACAAGTATTGTATTTTCAGCTCTACAGTGGAAAGTTCGACTCAACAAGATAATCTGAGTTTTGACATTCCAGATCAATGGAAAGGCATGCAAGGTAAGGTTGTATTATGCCGTGAAATGCACCTAATCAAATACACCCTCTTGCTTGTAATTGGCAACTTCTTCAGTCATAGTTATGCAGCACAGATACAGACCCTTCGGTCCAACTCCTCTATGCCAACCAGATACCCTAAACTTACCCAGCCCCTCTTAACCCTTCCTATTCATTTACCCAAACAGATGTCTTTTAAATGGTGAAATTGCATCTACTTACATCACCACCTCTAGCAGCTTATTCCATAAACACACCACTCTCTGAAAAGGTTACCCCTCAGGTCCCTTTTTAAAATCTTTCCTCTCTCACCTTAAACCTATACCCTCTAGTTTTGATTTGGTTTTGATTTTATTATCACTTGTACTGGAATATTGAAAAGCTTTGTTTGCTAGCGGTATCACAGCAAGCAAATGAGGCACAGATCAAAAAGACTTAAAGGCATACCAGTTACATTAAGACTAGAGTCCATTCAAGAGTCTAACAGCTGGAAAGAAGCTGGTCCTGAACCTGCTTGTGCGTGTGTTCAGGCTTCTGTATCTTCTGCCTGACAGAAGAGGTTGTAGGAGATCGTTACCAGGGTGTGATGGGTCTTTGTTGGCTGCCTTTCTGCAGCAGTGAGCCGTGTAAATGGAGTCCATGGATGGAAGGTTGGCTTCTGTGATGGTCTGGGCTGTGCACACCACCTTCTGTAGTTTCTTACGGTGCTGGGCAGAGCAGTTGCCGTACCAGCCGTAATGCACCCGGACAGTGTGCTTTCAATGGTGCATCTCTAGAAGTTGGTGAGGGTCATTATTTACCCTATCCATGCCCCTCATGATTTTATAAACCTCTAAGGTCACCTCTCAGCCTCTGATGCTCCAGCAAAAATAGCCCCAGCTATTCAGCCTCTCACAGGAGGGTCACCAAACCTGAAACGATAACTTTTTTTCCTTCACAGATGCTGCCAGACCTGCTGAGCTTTTCCAGCAACTTTGTTTTTGTTCCTGATTTACAGCATCCGTAGTTCTTTCGGGTTTTTATTCAGCCTCTCCCTGTAGCTCAAATCCTCCAATTCCGGCAGCGTCCTTGTAAACCTTTTTCTGAACCCTTTCAAGTTTCACAACATCTTCCCTATAGCGGGGAGACCAGGACTGAATGCAGTATTCTAAGTGGCCTCATCAATGTTCTGTACAGCTACAACATATTGTCCCAACTCCTGTGATCAGTGCACTGATCAATGAAGGCAAGCATGCCTTCACTATCCTGTTGACCTGTGACTCTACTTTCAAGGAAGCATGTACCTGCACCCCTAGGTCTCTTTGTTCATAAACACTCCCCAGGGCCTTACCATTAATGGTAAGTCTGGCCCTGATTTGCCTTACCAAAATGCAACACCTCAATTATCTAAATAAAACTCCATCTGCCACTCCTCAGCCCAAGGTCCCATTGTATTGAAAGAATCTTCTTCGCTGTCCGCTGTCCACTGCACCACCTAGTTTGGTGTCATCTGCAAACTTATTGGCCATTCTTCTCTACTCCCATCCAAATCATTTTATAGAAATGACAAAAAGCAGCATCAAACCTTGCAGCACATGCTGGTCACAGGCCTCCAGTCCAAAAAATAAATCCCTCTACCATCCTATCTCTCCTATTTTTCAAGCAAATTGTGTATCCAATTGAACACAGGGGGAGCTAGCCAATGTGATCTAATCTTGCTAACATGTTAATGGTTTTTTGTACCCTTTTTAATCTAGGGAAGTCTCCACAAGGTGAGACTGCGTTTAATTAAACTGTCACCCTCTGCTCTTTTTCATACATGTTGCCCTTTTGAATGATATTTTTCTTCCTATACTCGTGATTTCAGTAGGTTCAATTTGGCCATTCAGGTCTCTGATCACTGACTTTGTTCTACAGTGTATGGATGCTAGAACATTGGTTTCCTTCCTTTGGGAAGGAATGGATGAGAGTCCTCCACCAGATTGAGTAATGAATTTACTAACTTTTCAAGGCTGAACAAATTTTAACTTTGTTTTCTCTTCCATCTGTATTTCTAACTTTAACCAGTGATCAGCCCTACTGCCTTCACACTTCATCTAGCACTTCAATTCTGCAGGACTACAGTTGCACATTGGGTATCATACTCCCAGCTGGAGCCTGCATGAAGTGCAACTTCCCTTCCCTTGTTCTACTGCTTTTGATTCTGTCAAAATTCCATAACTTTTTTCGTTGTTGTTGTTGTTCAGTAGTTGAGTATTTTACATGTATCAACAAAGGCTGGAGTTTCCTTTTTTCTATTTTAACACACGTTTGTATAAATTTGAGAATTCTCCTTTTTTGTTTTGCCAACCTGATTGGACAACCTGTCCAATGTCCAATGGCAGGTGGGACTTGGACCTGGACTTCTGGCTCAGTGAATGGGGACATTCCAAATGTGCCACAATTTGTTCATCACTTTGCAATTTGAGTATTATCTTAATTCTCCCAGGCATGTATGCAAGTGGTCATTCACTTTAAAAGTGATCAATTTGGATTAAGTTTCTGAATCTCATTGTAAATTAGAAACCCTATAAAACAACTTCTATTGCTTCTACCTGTTTTAGTTGTGTCAAATCTCAGCACTTGAGATAAAATCCTCATCCCTTGACTTTTTAATAACAATTTCTAATTTAAGAGAATGGTTAGGCAGCAGGAGATGGTAGATAGTTCTGGTCAGCCAATGACCTTTTTTATTAGTTTGTTCATTAAGTCTAGATATTTTATGGGGATATCTATCACTTCTACATCTAAGCCAGAGACCAGTCAAGTAATATGTTCCCTTGCTGAACCTACACTACCTGCTTATTAGATTGTTGTACAGGTATCACTTGCATTGTGTTTAGGAGAAAAATCAACTCCAACATCCTTAATGTTAAGTTTATGGCCCAGAAGGAAAATCATTCCTACATTTTGATACATACTCCTAATAACTGAAATAATTTCAAAGTGAATAATCTAGTTCTTCTGGTCCCTCAAGCAAAGTCCCTAACTTCTATCAAACTTAATTTTTCTGATGACCTTGACATTTTTTTTTGAACTACCCAGAACTGAACCATATTAAATGTCAATGTGTTGCCCCAGCATCATCTATATACCTTCAAACTTGGAATACTCTTTTAAATGCATTTAGCTTTTGAATAGTAGGTGAACAACTACTTATCTCCTCTGCATTAAATTTTGTCCAAATTCAATCTAATAGAAAAACTAACAAAAACAAATTGCTGCAGAACTCCAGTCTGGCAGCCTCTGCAAAGAGGAAGCAGACTTAATGTTGAGACCAGTGACCCACCTCCAAACTGATATCGGCTGAGCTGAATGGGAGGGAGAATCTTTCCCTGTATTTCATTTTCTTACTGTTTATTACTTATTTAGCTTGGATATTTGCACATGACTCAAGTGAATAACTCCTGAGCTCCAGGTTTCTGATTACAAACATGAAGATTGTAGTGTATTGAGACCATCACTGGCAAGCAAGTCAGTGCTCTAGGCTAACACAAAACCAGAGAAACTCTTCCTGGCAAGGGTTATTAGCCTCAGAATTGACAGTCAATCTCTCTCACCTCCCTCAAAATATGGGTGAGGGGAGATTGAGAGGGTTGCCTTCAGCCAGTGTAGGAATCAATTCCTATGCTGTTAGCATTGCATTACATTAACCAGTCCCCCTATCCCCATAGGGATTCAGGCATCACTGACAAGCCTAGAGTCCATTAATCACTTCTTTTTTGCTCCTTTTTGTTTTTGGGCTAACTGCATACCTATATCGTTATCTTCCCTTCAGATAATAGACCAATGACTTAAATTTCAAATCAAGTTTATAAACTTGCACTGTGATGGTTTATTCAATCTCTCTACTTGAACTTTATATTTTAAAAAAAAAATTCTCCACTTAAGTTTGGTGATTTGTAACATGTTCTCTACCCTACCCTACACCCCCACCCCCCACCCTCTAATTCTGTAACCAGGTGAAAATTATACACATTCCACATTTCTTTATCATTACAGACTCTGGTAATTCCAGCACCACCACTGCAAACAAAAGCTTGGAGATTCCAGCATCAACTGTGGATCCAGACACTTCAATTCACACACAACAGGCTTTGCCTTCAAAAGCAAAACCAGAATCTCTCAAATCATTCCAAGCCTTGGATTTAAATAGGCTAATGACTGACAAGTCACTGGGAAACTGGCCAGAAGTGGATTTGCCAGCAACAACAAATGAAAATGACCTGTGTCCTGAAGAAGTAGCTATGGTGGACTTGATCTTCTTAAGTTTATAACCAATCTAAACCTTGATTATTTTCAAATAACTCGCTTGTCCAACAAGTAGGCATTTCTGGTACAAACATTACTAGCATATAGGTACTAAGCCAAGTAATGCTAGGGAATCCTCACAAACATTATGTAATTATCTGTTTTGTGGAACTAGTCCATATCAACACACTTTAGCTGTTGCATGCACTGAACCAGTGCCTACTTCAAATGTAGTGTTTGAATTGAATTTCTTCTGGCTGCAGGACTAGAAAGATCCCATTTGTCTGTACTATTGTATTTGTATGTGTCTGCACTGTAGCATACTTGAGAATGATGCCAAATGTTATGTTGATTTTAATCTGATCAATGATAACTTGCTTTACAGTGAATGTTGGTATCTCATACTTTGGGTTGAGACTGTTAAAACATCTTGCATGTACAATATTTCCTCTATCCTGAAAGGGGTTAGAGATATTAAAGTGAAGCAGCATCTGTTGATGGTTAATTGTCTCAATGCTTCATGCCACATGTTACCTTTGGGTAGGAGTTATCTATTGGGATGAGTTTCCTGCAATAACACTTGAACTTGGTTATGTTTTTTGAGCAGAAGTTGTGTTTAAACATTTGAACTTATGTCCATTTTCTCCTTTTGTTAACAGGATGTTGAATTATTTCTGTTGCCAGAGTTGCTCTGGTTAACACAATGAATATAATGTTCTTGTAGGTTTTTTGCATTGAAAAATCACCATTTTTCAATGTACCCTGTTTCTAACAACTTAAGTAACTGGGGTAAAATGCTCAAAGTTGCAGGATCTTCAGAAATCATCAAGCAGTTGAACTGAGCTTTCAACTTTATTTAAATAGTGTACAAATTGAACACAAGCTGTTTAAAAATAAATCTGCTTGAACAGAAATTAACATGTCTGACAATTTGGAGAATAAACTTGCTCTATGATCCTTCTCTGAAGGTAAAGGTGATGAACCAAGATGTATTCCTAAAGAAGTTTCTTGCTCCCAGAAAGTATGGTAGAGAGTAAAATCCAAAAGAGTTAACTCTCAGCTAGAAATGAGTTTTAAATGGATAGTTTCAAAGCAAGCAATCCTTTTTCATTTCTTAAGATCATACTGTGTGAACAATAAGTTCACAAGGTTAGCAAAGTAGCAATTCCTAGTTTTGAACCATGCTGCACTCATGTCTTACTTGCATGTGGCTGCACAGCCAGAGAACTAAAGGCTGTTTTTGACTATTGACACTTAAGTAGAAAATCCAATAGATACAATTCAACCTGATTTGAAGTTTTTTTTTTTTTTTTTGCAGTGTAACTTGGCTAAAAATGAACCCTAAGCAGCTCCTCTTGCATTCTAATAGAGGCTTGACTTAACACAGAATAGGTATATCACTGTATACTTGGATACAAAAAGACACTGCCATTGCTTGTTTTTCTGAATATCTCTGTACATTCTAAATCAATTAGAAGGTGCTTTACAAAAGTTTTGGCCAACCTCCAATTCAAATTTCACCTGCTTTAATTTTCCCTATTAGGTAGGATCCTAATTGCTCTACCACTTAAAGCCTGCATAACAACTTTCATTTATTTTACCTTCCATAAGGCAAGAAATTTTTATTATTGAACTTAGATTATAAGACTGGCTTTTTACATTTTACTGAATGCAAGAGCCTTCACTCTTGCCAAACTGGATGTATCCCAGTTCTGAGGAAGGGTCATTGGACCTGAAACATTAACTGTGTTTTCTCCTCCACAGATGCTGCCAGACCTGCTGGAGCTTTTCCAACAACTTTGTTTTTGTTCCTGATTTACAGCATCTGCAGTGCTTTTGGTTTTTATTTGGATGTATCTCCTACTCTTGAGGCAAGATCTACACAACATGATATGCAAGCTGATCCCTTGATCAAATTTTAAAATCCTGTCTCTCTAATAAAAGCCACTGCAGATTTGCAGAGTCAAATAGCCATACCTCTACTGTGTCACATTGTGCATGTGTTAACTTTTTGAAAAAATTGCAATGTAAGAATGAGAACATTTGCTTCATGGGACAGACCATTGTCTTTTTGTTGATCCTGAACCTAACAGGGTTTCAAGTGCTTCATACAGTTGCAATTTCAAGTTGCATAAATAGTGGCACAAAGATTTGTCATGCCTGCACAGGTGCCAGAATAAATTAGCTATTTTAAAATAATACTTACCTATGTGGATTTATTTAATCAGCACTGGTTAATAAGGCAGCAGGTTTTGTTTTAATAAGGTGGCTGTAAGGAGTTCCTAATACATTGTTCCAACTTTGTAAGAAATGCAATTGCTGGAGCTCCATGATTGTTTACACATCAATGTAGAAAATTGCTAGATTATATAATGCACTTATTATAGAAGGTGCTCTTGTGGACTCCACTTAATCTATTCGGCATTGAATGACTGTCTTTTTGTAACAATGCTATTGTAAATGGATAAGCCCCCTTGTTAACTTTGAAGAATTCACCAAATGTGTGACTCGCATTGTGTCATCTTCACCACACCGACCCCACCTCCAAGGCGCCTGTAGTTCATACTTCCAAACAGCCTGAGGGAATAAATCAATTCAAAAATTAAACCACTTTATAAATTTAAAGTGTTGCACAAGGTAAATCAATAAATCTATTCAAATCTTGTTTCTTTGCTTGTCTATTGCTTTAAAAGGAAAATGGTAATGGACAGGGCAAAATACTTAAATCAATAAAAATAATTTGCATGAAAAATAGAAATTAATACCTTTTCCATCTCTGGTTAATCCAGTAAGGTTTTAAATCTAAAAAGTGTACAAAGTGGTAATTGTTGGATTCACACTCAAAGCATTTGACATAAATCTTGATTCAACTGCATTGTATTTAGCTGATTTCATTGCCAAAGAGTGGGTTCAAAGTTGCTATGATGAGTGTGCAATTTTGTGATGAGGCAACATTATAACAACCTATGCAATGTGGGTGGTATAGGGTAGCAGGGTGCTGCCTTGTTTTCCCTTCTGCTGTAAGGTATTCACCAACCCCACCCCCCCAATCAGTTACTGAGATAAATCAGAATATTCTAGAAGTTTTTCTTTGCAATGTACTTAGCACTAGTTGAACCACATTCTTAATCAATGTGAAATGGACATGAACAAGCAACCCCTGTCTTGATGTGACTACAGTAATTCCATCCATGTACTGTTCGAATTTTCTACTCTGCCACAAGTCCTTCAACATTACTTGTGCACAAACCCTCAAAGTCAAACCCAGTAAAGGTTGAATGGTGACTATAATAGACTGTGCAGTGGCTGACAAGTCAAATAAAATGACTGTTAGATAACTACACATCAATGCATCAGAAAACATTTGCAACACCAGACGATACTCACCACAATCTGTTAAACTCAAGGCAGTGGTGTGAAAGTGTCAATAATATGGGATTCTACTGTTGCAAAGCATATACTAATTAAGTTTTGTTTTAAACTATTTCCCCCAGATGAAAAAAAAAATCACTTGCAGCTTTGATAGTACTCTATGCTTGACCAAAACAAACTGAATTTAAGTTCACTGAAAGCAAAAATTGAAGAATCTAGATTTACAACCCAACACCATACCAAGGAAATTGCATTGCAGGATGTGCCATATTTCAGACAGCATATCAAACACCACTATCCTGTATGTCTGGGCAAGTGAAAATGGTAGCAATGGTGACCTGATATGATCTGGACATAGGTCCTTTTCAGATCACTTGGGCCCTCATGAAATGGCGGAGATACTAAAGTTAATTCAAGTTTTTGTGCCTTTTGGATCAGTCAAGGACTTCTTTCAAACAAACAGAAGGATGGTGTTGATACACAGCAAAGGATTTGAGCTACATAGACATTGGGAGTCTCAACACACTACCACCATAGGTCAATGCAATTCATGCAATTTAAGAGAATTTCTGGAAAACTTTTTTTTAATAACAATGATCAGTATTTATTGCAGTAACTTAAGTCCATTATACTTAGTGTGAAATCTGACAGTTCCATTCTGCAATTACTGACTTCACACATAGGTTACAAAAACCAACTAAAGGTTCCATTTTATATTTTGTGAAATTCTAACTTAGCTATTATAGTCATTTACACTGATTGGAATCAAAAGGACAAAAAAACTAATAAATGCAAAATACTACAAATGCTGGAAATCTGAAACAATTAATTGAAAATTCTGGAGAAACTCAGGTCCAGCAGCATCTGTGTAAAGAGAATGAGTTAATAGTTCAACTCCAGTTATGTCCCTTCCTCTGTTCTGAAGAAGTAATATTGGATTTATTCCTCTCTCCATAGATGCTGCAGAACTTGTTCGAGTTACTCCAGCATTTTCTGTGCTTGTTTGAAATCTAATAAGTTCCACTTCTTGTGAGCTGTAAACATTGGGATGTGTTTGTACCTCCAAGTATTTGCATCAGGATCAAATACTTCAACGGTTTTTAAGTAGGTTGTACCATCAAAACCGCCAACTGCCATCAAAAGTCCATTTACAACAGCTAGACCAACCTGTGGTAAGGATGGGGGGGAAAAAAAGAAATCAATTAAATACTTGAATTACTTGCTAAGAACTAGGGTGTTTACAGTTGAACAAAAAGCAAATGCTAACACAAGCAACCTGCTCATACAACATGAAGTATGAAATCATGACACATAGAAATAGGATTGTCCTCTCAGTTGCTACCTGCTTGCTTAAGAGTCAGTAGATGGTGCCCTCACTTTCCCAAATAGAACCCAATGCAAATGCATTGAGGAATAAAATCTCTCATCCCTTGTGCCTAATTGACAGCAGTTAACTGCTAACACTCTGTTGCGGCGCACGTATCGGCTCAGTAAGGTCACTGTACAGTGAACAAATGAGACTGCATCTAATGGATTAGCCTTGCTACCAAGACATCTGAAGCAATGCTACAATCCTAATGTTAGATTTTTCTACAGTGGCAGCAGGGGAGTGGTTAAGAACATAAACAACCCTAGTGTAATTTTTCTCAAATCATGTGTTGCTCAGTAGAGAAACAGACAAAATGTATTATTCAGCTAGGTACAGTACACATTCCTGCCCCATTTTCGATTTTATGAGGCTCCACATCACAATCAGTAGAGATAGGACTGTGAATGTTTGTCAGCTTGTGTCAGAATGACACTCAATAGAGGGCATTTATATTCTACAGAAGATTGAAGATTTCACTTTAGTGCCAAGAGAAATTGCCTTTTTCAATTTGAAGGTGCTATACAGCAGCAGAAATGCAAACAAAGCAAGCTGCACTGATAAAGATAAAGCATAATATTCTATACCTCCAGAAATTATAACAGGTCAATCAATTTCTGGAACAGTAAATTAAATTGTATCCGTCTTCAAAACCGGCTGATCTGATAGAGTTATACTCTTGTCTACTTTTCACATTTTATTAGATTCCAACTAGTTTGAATTAAATCTGCAGTCTTGAGATGGCACTTTCATACTGAGAGTCTGTGGTCTGCTAAATATGTTTACAAAAACATGTACGCGTGCACACACAAACGACACAAATTAGCCGAGTGCACATTTACCCCACTCCGTCTGGAGGTCATAGCAACCACTGGAGACCACTGATTAGTTCGAAGGTTGTATCGCTCAGCACTACTAAGCTCAGTTGTGTCATCGCGTCCTCCGACTGCATAGATCATGTCCTGGAATACAGCGCAGCCAAGGTGCTTTCGCCTTGTCCCCATGGGTGAACAAGGAGACCAGCGATTCTCCTGAGGAATGAAGCGTTCAGCTGAAAAGTATAAATATTCCATAAACCCAACAAGCTAAATATTGCTGCAGTGTTGGAGCAAAGCAAGTTATTTGTGGAATGTAATCTTGATATATTTTAATAACATAAGCAATGTAGAGAATGAAAAGTAATGTTCCTGAAAAAAATTGCAGGTTTTAATTTGCACATATGGTATACCTGTACAGGTACTACCAAGTTTATACAATTAAGATAGAAAGGATATTCACCCATTTTAATTATGGGAACAGGACTAGGCTATTCAGGCTTTCAAACTGTTCCACTATTCAATGAGACCATGGTTGATATGTGGCCTAACTCTGTACCTGCCTTTGGACCATATCCTTTAATACCTTCGCTTAATAAAAATGCCTCTCTGATTCAAAATGAACAAATGATCTAGCGTCCACTACTGTTTATGAAGGGAGTTCCAAACCTCTACCACCCTTTGTATACACAGGTGCTTCCTAACATCTTTCCTGAACAGTCTGGCTCTAATTGTCAGACAATGCCTCTAGTTCTAGAACCCCCAACCAGTGGAAATAATATCTTTACCTTCTGTCCTTGAGGTTGTTGATTTGCTCACCAAACGGTCTGCTTATCATTCAGACATTTCATCACCATGCTAGATAACATACCCTTTGTATCATACCTAGCATGGTGATGAAAAGTCTGAACTATAACCAGCCAGCTCAGCAAGCAAACCAACAACCTCATCCACAACCCGAGCTACAAGTCTTTGCATGAACCTATTCTGTCTTCTTCTGTTAATATCTTGCAGACTTCAAAACATGCCACCCCTTAACCTTCTAAATTCTAGAGAAAGCAGACCTAATTTCTACAATCTCTCCTCATACCAACTTGAGGAGTTAAGGTATCATTCTTGTAAACCTATGTTGTTTTTCCTCCAAGGCCAAGAAATCCTTCCTCAGGTGTAGGGCCCAGATCTGCTCACAGTACTCCAAGTGGGGTCTAACCAGGGTTTCGTATCACTCCTGCATCGTTGTACTCCAGTCCTCTAGATATAAAGATCAGAATTCCATTAGCTGCGCTGATTTTCCTGCACCTGCCCGTGACATTTTAAAGATCTGAACCCCTCGCCGCCACCCACTCCCAAGTCTCCTTAGACACCCACTGTATTTAACTTTACACCATCTAGACATTACCCGATCTATCTTTTTTACAGTCCAAATTGGATAACCTCATGCTTGCTTACAATTAACTCCATCTGGATCAATTTTGCCCAATAAATCTGTCAATATCCCTTTCTAATTTCATGCTATCTACACTGTCCACAATGCTATCAAACTGTGTCATCAGCAAATTTGGAAAAATGACTATGCCATTATACAATTCATTAGTGAATAATGTGATTAACTGAAGCCCTAACACAGACCCCTGTAGTTACACTGGTCACATCCTGCTACTTTAAGCACATATCCAATTATTCCTACTTTCTGTTGCCTGCTACTCAATCAATTTCCCAGCAATGTCAGTAATTCACCCTCAAGTCCATGGGCTTCTAACTTAGTTCACAATCTCTCATGTGAGACTATCAAATGCCTTCTGGAAGTCCATATAGACAACACCTTTTGACATTTCACTGTCCACTAGCTAAGTCACCTCTTCAAAAAACTGCAACGAGGTTTGTCAGGTATGACCTACCTGTAAAATTCATGCTGGCTCTCCCTAATTAACTCAAAATTTAAGGTGTTCAGTTACCTCATCCTTGATTATAGACGCTAACAATCTCTCCACCACAGATGTTAAGCTAACTGGTCTGTAAATCCCTGGTTTTTCCACTTTTACTGTTCATAAAAAGTGGAGTGATATGAGTAACTTTCCAGTCCAGAGGGATGACTCCTGTATCCAGGGATCTCCGGAAGGTTACAGTTAAAAGTGTCTATAATATCCTCCCCTACTTCCTTTAACACTCTTGGTTGGAAACTGATCCATCGCCGGAATTTGTCACTCTAATTCCTCATTCCCACATCAATTTCCTTATTGTCGATGTTTTACTTATGTTAATTCTATTCAGTCCCTTTGTTCATTATTTGCCGTGTTCTATAATGTAAAAAGGTCCAGAATCACAGACAACCATTTTGATATCTTCTGTGAAAGGATGAGTATGCAAGGTAAGCATGAAATTAGAGTGCTGGACAGTAGGATGCCAGGTAAGGAGTAAGGTACATAAAAGTGTATAGTATAGGTCAGGGTGCGCGAGAGCTCTCAGGTTTGGCAAGGAGTATCGCGTTCGGCAGGGAGTTCAGTCTAGACCGGGGCAGACACCTCCCTGGGCGTTTTGGGGTCCCAAGGTTATAAGATACCTGATGACGCAGTCGGGTGTGAGAGAGAGGGAAGCGGGAGGTCAGCTGAATAGTTACTCTGGAGTTAATAGTCTCATTTCAGGAATTTAATAGTTTATTTTAACCCAAGTCACTATTTACTTAACTACAGCAGAACCCTCAGAATTCTGATTCAAATGGATACTTTAGGAGAATTTCAGATGCAGGAGAATTGCTCTGCAGAATGTTCAATTTCCCAGGCCATTCCTTTGGAGTCTGCTAGGGTCCCCGTACACAACTCCCATCTACACTTCAGAAATGATTATCTGGTCATCAGAAATTTCTCCCAATTGTATTTTTACAATTTAGTTTGAAACAATAGTCCACATTTACATTTTTCACGCTATTTGCATATTTATGTTCTAGTTTTATTGCATCTGCGGTCTCAAGCATACTTGTAAGATCTCATGGCAATATGTGAAGAGCAAAGGAGGTTGCCAGATGTCCTGACTAACATTTATCCTTGACCCAAGGCCACAAACAGTTCACTTAGTCATGTGTCATTGCTGTTTGCCCTGTGTAAACTGCCAACACATTTCTCTGCTCCACAGCAGATACCACACTAAAATAAATTCACTAGCTGTGATGCATTTCAGGACGTCCAGAGATCATAAAAGGTACTATGCAAATGTAAGTTCCATCTTTCTCAGCAGAAAATAAATTCTTAGTTTTCTTCTTTCCAGACTAGAAAGTCCAAGTTTCTAATATTGCAACTACAACTCCATTCTCCAAGGGATCACTCTCTGAACTGCTTCCAGTGCACAAGACCCTCCTAGAATCTTGGACTCAAGACAGTACTCCGACAAACATAGAACACAGTTTCTCTGGACAACTTCTGACACAAAATTTATTCTTCTGGTTACAAATCCATTACTTTTGCTATGTGCAATACATTGTATCTGTTTAGATTCAATTTTGTCTGCCATTTTCCTACCTATGTTGATATGTCATCCAAATCATTTTGCTTCCCTCTCAGCTGCTTGTTCAGAAATTAAGTGCCCCCCCCCAGTTTGATATTATGTACAAAATGATACCAGACATTTTTGACTTGAGATAACACTAGACATACCAGTCCCGATTCCTAGGAATTCTATTCTATTTGGAACAAGTCCTTAGGATTTTATTTTCTTTAGCCCATTTCGAAGTCCAAATCCAAATATTGTTGGCATCAAACGATAGCCTTCAACATGTAGCTTTGTTAGATGCTTTTTGGAAGTCTAGTTGCACTATAATCATAAATCTTTCCACAATGCACCACAAGTCCATTAGTTTAAAAAATAATTTAATGTTGAAGGATAGAACGATAATGTTTTTCTGAAGATCACAAATATTTATTGGAATGCAAACAAAATCTTATAGTGCTTCATCCTCAAAATGTTACAGCTGCAGTCTATGTTATGCTGTATAAATAATGAATTGGGGAGAACCGTGGTCAGTTTTTTTGAAGTGCTAGTTTTAACTTAACGTTACATCAAAATAAAATGATAATTACCGAGAGGCATACTATCAAACGTGTCTCTCTGGCACCAGTATTCCAAACTCGCCCAACCTCCCCAACAGTGTTAAGGACCCACAGAGTGAATTTGAACAATTTATACACCATGATTGATGGATCTCAAACCTGGGCACAAAACTGAATGCAATTTCACATTAAAAATGATTATTGAATTAGTAATCTCATTTCAGGATGGATGTTGTGGATGACGAGAAAGTGAAAGACACAAGTGATGATATTTTAAGGTTACAGAGAATCATGATGGTGCACAGAAAATTTACACTCCATCTGATGATCCAAAAGCAGTGCAGACAATTCTTTCTAAAATAAGTTAAGCGTCTAGCATCACCATCTCTAATACTGATAAGTAAAAGATTAAAAGATAGGGTCAGTCTGAAGTACATCTATTGTTGTGACTAATTTCTAAATTATTTTGTTTCCGCATACATTACCTGTATTTAATGGAGATGTTCCATCAGAGCCCCCGATAGCATAGAGATGTCCACCGAGGACTGCCACAGCTACACCGAGGCGGCGGGTGCTCATAGGGGCTACTCTCATCCATTTATTTTCTTTAGGATCAAACCTGGCAAAATAATTAACGTGCTACAAATTTGTATCTCTCTAATCCTATGAACTTGTTTTTTTAAAATCAACCCTTTAAGCAGGCAGTGTCACAATAAGTACTGTATATATTCATGCAGAAGTCAATTGAGAGAGACTTTTTTTGGCAAAAGGCACGAGTTGATTTTTTCAGCAGTAACGTCTTGGATGGGTTGACACGTGCTTGATTTGGGCCCAAAGTGTTTTTTTTTTACATTATTCCAATCAAAGAATTAATATCAAACATTTACTCATTTTCCAACATTACAAGCTGCACATGTTTACAATGAAAGTAAACCACTAACATCTCCAAGACTGCACTTCGGTTCTGAAATTGTTGGGATTTGATCCCTGCAAAACTAGAGTTGATTTTTGTATCAATTATAAAGTTTTTTAGGCCAACCAAAATCACGCAGTTGACTTTTGCACACATATATATGGTAAGTTATTGCCCCTTTCTTACTTTGCACTTTTTGCCAATGATTCCCTTTCCTCGTCACAAAAGGAGGTATCTCTAAATGCTGAAGGCTTTCTGGTCACTATCCAGAACACCGTCCGTGTTTAATATTCACACATGAATCTGAACAGCAAGTGCAATGTGATTCTCCTAGTGTCAGTGTCAGTCATGTCCAATCTGGTTCTCACTCAGCAATCACATACAAGTAATCCAGCATGGGTCACTGGATAGTGAATGTTCAGGAGTAAACCCCAGATTTCCTTTTCCTAGCTTAGGGCTCTAGGCCGACTGTAACAATAATGCCTCCCTGTGAGAAAACCTAACTAAACACAGACCAATTATTGAACTTGCTCATATAGCTCAGCTGCTGATAAGCCAGAGGCACCCTAAGTACTCGTTTAAAATCAATTAAAACACTGAAACATAAAATATCAGAAGAAGTCTTGACAGGGTAAATGCAGGGAGGATGTTTTCTCTCATTGCAGAATCTTGAACTGGGGTCACAGTTTAAAAACAAGGGGCCGCCTATTTAAGACGAAGATGAGGAATTTCTTCCTTCAGAAAATTATTAGTGTTTAGAATTCTCTTCCATGGAGAAGAGTGGAGGTTGGTCCTTCATTAAAAACATGGCCAAATTGGACAGATTTTTGTTTGGCAAGGATTAGCAGGGGTAATCAGGATAGTGGAGTTGAACCCACAATTAGATCAGCCATGATCTTACTGAATGTCAGAGCTGGCTTCGGGCACCAAATGTCCAATTCCTGCTCCTAATTCTTTTGATCCTTTAATCTTATGCACGTTTAGTTGGTTTAAAAATCACAGCTTTCAGTTCACCCTGCAAAGTTCCCACTTTGCCTCCTTACCGCCCAAGTGCTTGGTACAGACCAACAAAAGCCTCTTTGGAAACTCAAAATTGTGTAAGGGATACTCTTGGAAATTAATGAGATAAAACCAATGACTGTCCAGCTAGGATCACTGGATTGCAGAATTCTCTAGAGTTTAATGTGAGGAATCTAGCATGTACCAAAATGTCTACATCTCCAAATCCTATTAATAAACTGTTTTTTCTTCTGTGTGATTAGAGATTGGATTACCGAAGTGCCACAGATGTTTTATTTATTCATTCACAGAAATTGGGCATCACTTGTAAAGCCAGGGTTTATTGCCCATGCCTAATTGCCTCAAGGTGATGGTGTTGAGCCACCTTCTTGAACCACTGAACATTTGGCAAAGGTACACCCACCATGCTGTTAGGAAGGGATAGTTCCAAGTCAGGATGATAATGTGGTATGGAGGGGAGCTTGCAAGTGGTGGGGTTCCCCTGTATCCGTTGCCTTTGTCTTTCTAGGTGGTAGAAGTTGACTCTTGCCCAATGGTCAACTATTAGCGTATAAAAGATTAAACTTACCTTGTCTTTTCCATCCTCTAACCTTTAGGCAATATACATTCATGTCGAATTACTAACTAAAGGACAAGAGCAGGTTTCAACCCTTACAAGCTGAACTCTTGGTCTGGGAAACCATATGGTGAGCAGCATATTGCAACATGAAGTCCACAGCCATAAGATACGTTGGCAGAATTAGGCCATTCAGCCCATCAAATTGGCTCCACCATTCGATCATGGCTAATGTTTCTCAACTTCATTCTCCTGCTTTCTTCCCACAACCATTGATCCCCTTACTAATCACTGATCTATCTCTGTCTTAAATACACTCAATGACTTGGCCTCTACAACCTTCTGCAGCAATGAGCTCCTCAGGTCTACCACCCTCTGGCCGAAGAAATTCCTCTTCATCTCGGTAAGCCGCAAGTTTCCCAAAAGCCCCATAACCTATTAAATAGTGGCTACATCATTTGGAGGTGCAGAGTTTCAGCAGCCTCTTTACTCAGATATCGAACCACGAATATTCAAGACAATCCAGTCTTCAGGCATTAACTCATAGCACCCGTCTTACCAAGAGAGTGTTCTCATCGGTTTCTTCAGCATGTTGAAAGGATGTGTGCAGGACAGCTGGAAATATCAACCTAATTTGATACGTGCATGCTCTATACCAGGCTTACTCTCAACAATTCTATAAGATATGAAAAGCTTTAGCGGATGCAGCTGTCCCCCTGGTACTCTCTCCCCTGTAAGCCAGAGCTCTGACTTTAACCATTTCCCAGCTTTTCCTTTCATCTTGAGCGTGGAAATCAGGAAACTCTTCTACTGCATGGTTAGAACTGTTAAAAGAAAGAATTCCTCAAGTATAACCAAACAATTCATTCCTGTCAGTGATTACAGCATCCTTCATTACTTACCTTTCCACAATATTAAGGCAGGACACTCCATCCTGACCTCCAACAGCATACAGGTACCCTCCAAGCACAGCTACCCCTACACTTGTTCTGCACGTGCTGGTCGGAGCTACATCACTACTCCACTGGTTTGTCTTCGGGTCATACCTTAGCAACGGAAGAGAAATAATTGAGGAGTTAAAAGGCAGGGGGTTCACAAGCAAGATGGAAAGGTTAAAACTCATCATTGTTCCAGATGCATTTATAATTGTTACAAGAACACCCTTTCTCCTGGTTTAGCCTCAAACTGTTGTCATGGAGAGTGACGGAGTTAGTCCTGAAGGAAAGGAGTTGTGGTAGGAAACAAAGTCAATGGCTTTGGCTTTCCCAATATTTAGGCAGGGAAATTGCTGATTATAAAGTACTGGCTGTCAGACAAACAATATGACTAATCAGAGTCAGAGATTTCAAGGTTAAGTTGTAATGTGTAGATGTGCATGACCTTTACTCCACAATGGGCAAAAAAAAATTCAGCAAAAAGAGAGGCAGCTAAAAATAAATTCGCATAACAAAACCAAAATATTGCTCCATTTTTTTTCTCAGATGACACTGCCTTGACAAGAAAAGTCTTCAAGGATTAGCAAGATTTAGTCAAAACAACCCAAGGGACTAAGCAGACAACAGTATGGAGCTGGAGGAACACAGCAGGCCAGGCAGCAGAGGAGCAGGAAAGTCAACGTTTCGAGTCAGGACCCTTGTTCAGAAATTTCCGACTCCAGCACCTGCAGTTCTTGCTATCTCCAAGGGACTAAGCAACTAGTTTAGAACCGATCAAGCCATGGACAACAAAAATACATATGTTAGGGCTGAATTTTAAAAGAAGTTGAATTACAAAACTGACCACTCTCAGAATCATTAGCATTCCAGCCACCGTTGCAGTTCTTGCTAATAAATGAATGTTGGAGGCATCTTAGGAACAAATTGCTCAGCTTTCATAATTTACCATTCTAGCTACCAAACCAGATTGTGTTCCGAACTGAAATATTGGGGAAAACAACAGCTGCTATGTAAGAACTGCTGTTTATGAGGACAAATTAAATTTATGCTTGTACAAACAAGATTTGCTATTTAATTCTTTTTTCCCCACAAGTTTTGAATCATCCGATTTTATTTCCTGATTACACAAGTAAAATGCTCACACAGAAACAATGATTATTTAGGGCAGAAATAAGTCCCAAGGCTGACAAATCTGAAAGGCTATTACATTTTAATAAAAGAGAGTTACCACAAAGTGAATTAAAGGGAAGTCACAGGACATGTTTTCACACTTCCTTAAGCTGGAAAACATGTGGCATTAAGTATATTTATCACCAGTCAGAAAGCATTACCCTTGCAGTAAATTCACAGAAGCACAGCAATCTGGGACCATCTCTTGCTGTTATACATTTCCAACAGCAACATGTTATCTGCCCTATAGGTTCGACTTGGCTAAATAGGAATTAGCCATTAATTAGGGAAACAATCTAGAGTGTGACACAAGTATGCAGGAATAATGAGTTGGCAATGCATTGTGACACCATATTTTGAGACACATTCATAACCAAGGTTCCTCTCTATAAAAAACGCGCTGGAAACTAAAGTTGACATTGAAATGCAGTTGTCTGCTTCTCAAATGACAAATTAAATCAGTCAAGGTGGGTGACCGTTTAAACAAACAGCTGAAGAGCTGTACATTGCCCACTACATATTTCAAATAGACAACTAATCCATCATTCCTCTGGCAACTGAATCCCATCATAAGTTACATTTCCCTCAAATCTCTGTTGACACTGTATTTAGTAAAATGTATCTAATAGGTGAAATATTAGTCCAATTGAGGTACTGTCCTTTATCAAATTCAAAGTTGGTTGGGTGAAGCCAGAGGTTAGACACAGCAGCACTCAGTTTTACTCAACATCAGCAGTTCATGAGCATCTGACCGCAGTTTATACCGTTTTGAATGAGTTTTTATTCTGCGGAATTATGGGATAACTTCAACTTAATCAATATCTCTATTACAGTCCAAACAACCAACTGAAGAGTACTCTAAGAAAAAAGCAAACGTGAGACAAATATTACTTTTCTTCAGAACTTCCTGTCTAAAGAGGAGTCATACAGACTTGAAACATGAACTGTTTCTCTCTCCACAGATACCACCAGGTCTGCTGAGTTTCTCCAGCACTGTCTGCTTTTATTATAGCTGATGGGTGGTACTGGAATCAACCTTTATTCAGTGCTACATTTGTTTGCATGATTAAACATTACAAGAGTGCACCTCCTAACCCAACCACTCAACAGTCTCTCTTCACATGTGCTTAGATGTAATCCCAGTTAGCGTCCACCATCTACATACAATTAGTAGGAGATTAACAACTGGTATTTAATGCAAAACTACTTCTGGTCTGTTTCAGTGTGTGGTGTTTGCACCATGACTGCAGCGATTGCAAACAGCCTTTTTGCTACATACCCTTTGAAGTAATAGAAAATTACGAACAGGAGTAGTCCATTCAGTTGCTCAAGCCTGTTCCACTATTTAATTCTATTATGGACAGCTGTATAACTGGACCAAATTATTTATTTATATACATATACAAACAAACAAACAGACCAGTTCTTCTTCAATACTGGTTATTTCATCAGTCGTTGATATTCTACGAGGAGAGGAGCACATATTCAAACAGTTCTGCTTTTCTCAAAGCAGGAAGTGGGTACTGATAAGCATGACTGTAAGTGCAACTCATCATAAAATTTAAGTAAATTGATCTCAAGATCCAATGAACTATAAATGCATCTCAGTTTTAAATATATATGGTCTTGTACTTTTTGGTTCAGATGCTGGTGCATAGCCAAATACAGCTCCACAGTCAAGTGGTACTTGAAAGATACGAGTTCCCTCAGAGTCAGGGTCAGGTTCAGAAATCAATGTTATGATGAAAAGATTAAGAACAGTATTTTAAACGTTAATCAATACCTGCTATCTACTCAAATTTCCTCACTATTTTGGTCTGGCAATGTTCCAGATTTTGGCTTGAACATTTAACTTCCCACTCTCATTTCCCTCAAAACGTTTAATTGGAGTGTACTTCAGAAGAGCTGACTTAATACCTGTTAATACTATGTTAAACAACCAGTTTTCATTGAACTTAGACAGTAATCCTTACGATACTTAGCCCAACTCTCAAGCATAGATCAAGAGTTAGTGACCAGAAGGATGAACCCCAGCTGATACTGCCTCCTCCCACCCATGCTACGGTGCCCAACTGGTATCCCTACTCTCTGAAATCAACTAAGCACAACAGAACTTTAATCTACAGAGCTCAGTCCCAACACGACCATACTGCATTGCTTCATTGTTGTCACTCAAGAATGAATGATCAGTCTTTTGTTTCTTCAATAAATAAAGCAGATTATTTAGCAGAATATTCAAAGTTACCTTTCAACACTGTTCAGGTAGGAAGATCCATCATGACCTCCAACTGCATACAAAAGGTCATCGAGAACTGCTACACCGACACCGCACCTTCGTTTAGACATGGACGCCATCATCCGCCACTCATGTGCCTGAGGATCGTAGCGTTCAACACTAGAGATTGCATCCCCACTGCACCAACCACCAACTGAAGAAAAAAAAAGGCAAAAATAAAAAAGATTAACAAATGCAAATTTTAAAATTCCAATATTCAACAAGGTCACATTAGACACCGAGTGGCAAAATAGGCTCAAGGGGCTGAACAGCTTTATCCTTCCCCTTGTCCCAGTCCACACAAAACATTGCAGCTGTTTGTACTGCAGGTGACCTTAGCCGGAAAATATAGAATAGATCCAAACCATTACACAGAAAATAGGAGCAGGTTGCCATTTAGCCCTTTTCTACCAACTATGTTAGTTCTGCAGTTTTATTCAGCTCAATAAAAGGGTAAAAATTTTATTAGCCGTAAATCAACCAGATATTGTGCTCAAAAGTAACAACTTATAAATAAAGTGACTTCTAGTACCAAGGTGCTATTTTTATGGACTCCAGCAAAGAAATTTAAATGCATGACGACAATACTGCTACAGAACTACACATACAAAACTGCAATGATAATCCGAAATCTGGATATGGTTCACAGAAAGAAACTTTGCATTGTCGATAATAATGGCCTGAAGTCTTCCATTTTAACAACAACAGACTTGCTGGTGTCAATGATATTTCTGTTTATGGTGGACAGTAGCTTCTGCCAATCCCATACAGGCAGCAATCAGAAGTTGCTGACAGTGATTCTCTGCTTTTTCAGAGATGCAATCAGCATGAAATCAGCGATTTGACATGAATTTCAACTTAGAATCATAGAATCCCTACAGTGTGGGAACAGGCCATTCGGCCCAACAAGTCCACACCGCCCCTCTGAAGAGCATCTCACCCAGACATATCCCAATTCCCCTACCCTTTTCCTGTAACTCTGCATTTCCCACATCTAATCCACCTAACTTGCACACCCCTGGACACTACGGTACAACTTAGCACGGCCAACTCATCTAACCTGCAGATCTTTGGACTGTGGGAGGAAACTGGAGCACCCGGCAGAAACCCACGCAGACACGGGGAGAACGTGCAAACTCCACACAGTCAGTCGCCCGAGGGTGGAATTGGATCTGGGTCCCTGGCCTTGCTGGACACCACCACCTGCGAGCTCCTCTCCAAGACACTCACCATCCTGACTTGGAAATATATTCCTTCACTGTCACTGGGTCAAAATCCTGGAATTTCCTCCCAAAGGGAAATTATGGGTCTACCTAGAGCATATGGATTGCAACAGTTCAAGAAGGCAGCTCACCACCACCTTCTCAAGGGCAACTACCTATGTCCCATGAGTGAATAAAAACAAAACTAAGCTAAGCTAGTTGAGCAAGATGTAACTGAGCTTCTAGCAGTGTACCAAGTCATAATTACTGTCAGACAACTGCCCTGGTTTGGGGCATCACTAACTTGAGTGCATGGAAAAAAAAAAATCCATAAACGTAAAATCTATGATATTTCCCATAAGTATGTCACAATTTTAATTTTTTTCTCTCTCTCAACAGAGGAAAAAAAGTGAATGGTAATCAGTACTTCTTACTTCCTGATTTTCTGTCTGTGATAATCCTTCCATCAGATTAGCAGCTCAGACTGCTTGGATGACTTCATCTCCTGAACACCAGATGGCGACTGATGCTGCAGAAGCTAATAATTCATTGGGGGCAGCTATGAAACAAGCAGTGAGCATCGCCCCTTTGACTGCAAAACCATGCTATTAAAATCTTTAAGAACAAGATAGGCATTTTGAAGGAATCACTGCACTCCCCTACCAGCAAAAAGCACTTCGCCACATCGGATGGGCTTGCGAGGTCGAGTCCGGGGACCCTGCATGAGAGGTCTCTCCTGTGGCAGGAGGAGATAATTTTTTGCCTCGTCCAAGAGATCTCTGAAATACATGAGGGAAAAATAAAGGCTATCAGTGAAAACAAAGAAGGAGAAGGTTAAGAAAGTAAGGATTGCAACAAATTTTGAATTTTAAAAAAAATTTCCAAAATGCAACTATTAGTGAAGCATGAATTTCCCAATTTTCCCACAAACGTTTTGTTCTCAGTCAAATTATAATGCACAGATCCAGAATATAAGCATGTCATTCTCGATTCTGAAGGATTATCTAAGAAGAAGAGCCTCTAATAGGAATACAGGTGCTAAACTGCACCACTAAGGAAATCTGGTGGTGAGGTTTCACAGTTCCACAGCAAAATACACTGAATTTTCAAACAGTTTTGAAAGGGAAACAACAACTGGTTACTTCAAATAGATCATCTACCTTATACAGAAAAATGCTAAGAGATGGGCCAGGCCTGGCAGAATTTGTACGCATTTTGTAGCACCACCTGCAAGTTTCCTCCATGCCAAACACCATCCTGACTTGGAATTCTATTGTCGTTCCTTCACAGTCACTGGGTCAAAATCCTGGAATTCCCTTTCTAGCAGCACTATGGGTGTCCATATATCCCAAGGATTGCAGTCGTTCAAAAAAAAAAAGCAGTTCCCTATTGCCTCCTGAAAGGCAATTAGAGGCGAAGCCAACATGCAATGAACAACTAAAATGTTTGAAAAGTTAGATCCTCTAGAATACTATCCAACAGTCCTTCATATCAGAAGCAAGAGAATTTCTGGATTTAGCATATGGCAATTAGGATGCTGTTATAGATTTGGGATTTCAGGATCTGTTGCAAAGCTTTCTGATCAGAGTATTTCCTGGCAAACAACAGTAGTTAATAAAATAAAATACACTCGACGCTGGAAATCCAAAATAAAAACAGAAAATCTTGGAAAATACTGAACTGCTCCAGCAGCAGCTGTGGAGAGAGAGAAGCAGAAATAACTTTTCAGGTTAAGGTTCTTGAAAACCGAAGGAAGACATAGATTGTGTAATAGATTTTGAGCAAGTAAAGGGGAGGGGGCATGGGTGGGGGAGAAGAACAAAAAAGGAAGATCTGCTGTAGGTTATACAGCAAGAGATGAAATGTGACAAAATAGCCCCAGTGCAAAACCAAAACAGTAGCAATGAATAAAAAAGCAAAACAAAACAGAAATGTCTAGTGTGTGTGAATGGCAGAATATTGAATAGGTGCGCCTGAAAGCAAACCAAAATTAAAAAAAGCAGCACATGCAGAAAAAAAAAGACACATAACAGAAGACAAAGCTTATTGCTGGAGTGAAGCACTGATCAAATAATAGCATTTCTTTTTAAAATGCCAGAAATGGAACTGGATCAGTTTCAAAGACCATGACATTACTGCATTTATATGAGAACCTTCCAAAATGGAGCTAGTTAAGGAATAAAGTATCTGAGGAAGTTATAATTGTGTCTTTCAGCACCCTCTTAAATCAAGGGTAGTACAACGTTTTTCTTCAATAACTAAAAAGGCAATTATGGGCAAACATTTTAGGATACACATTATATTTATTCATGGAATTAAACAAAATCACATCAAAATTGACAGGTTCACATATCTTTAAAGAAGGCTTATACTCTTTGAATGGTTAATTACAACCTCATGATAGCCCTTACAACAAAATTGGAGCAGGGTCAGAACTAAATTCTAAAAACTCAATGTCAGAACTCAATTAGTGTTATATTCAGAGACATCTTTTGTAGCTTATTCAAGAGGCAAAATGTACATTTTATTAATGCTTGCCCACACTTGTTCCAAGCAAACCTGTCTATAAATTCGCTCCAGCAAGCAACCCTTTGAATATCTGAATACTGCTGGTTCTCCCATTTCATAAATAAGGATTGCAATGAATTTTGAATTAAAAAAAATTCCACAACACAACTATTAGTGAAGCATGAGTTCCCCAATTTTTTCATAAATGTTTTGTTCTTTTATTGTCAGTCATTCCAGTGTGTACCTTCTTGTCCAGTGGTGATGAGTATGTCAGGGCAGTCACTGCTGGATATGTTCACTCAAAACAAGACTGCAACAAAATGTGTTAAACTTCAAGGTCTTTTATTTTCAAATGGAACTCAGAAGAATAATCAAAACATTATGACACAGTAGGGTGCATGTAGGTGTATCCAAGAAAAACAACATATTCTGCATTGAATCTTTAGTTAGAGCAGCAATTCTTTGAGGAAAAAAACAGCAATAAATTGGTGCGTTTTAGTACTCACGTCTCAGATTTATAGAATTGGTTTCTCAATTAAAGACACATCTTCCATCATAAAAGGCTCATTGTGGCTTCTAATGTATTTTAATTGAAACCATGAAATGTACATTTACTCTAATTTAGCAATTTGTCAATGATGAAATGCTGGTGCTGCTGGTCCACTCAAACTGCTTATATAGTTGACAGAACAGACCAAATGGAACATTTACGCCTTGCCTATAAAAAAATTACGACGTGGATAGAGTAACCATGAAAATGGCACCAAAGGTCACATGCCCAAGATAAAAGCTCCAGGTAATTAATACCACGCGGTTTTGAAACTATATTTGAAGACAAGAAAAAGGAAAGGAATTTATAAATGAAGAAAGCTGTAGAAAACACTAACTTAAATGTTGAAACACTGGTTATAGTTCCTCTTCCACTACCTAAAAACGACAGTCAGTCAAAAAAACAAAAATACTGATGAACTCAAACATGGGATAGGATTTAATGCAGGCTGTTGCAGTGGGAAACATGGTGACTGGGCTTCCTAGTTTTGGGAGAGACCCCACATCAGTCTCCAGTCTGCAGGAAAACTCAAGTTGGAACGCATGTCTACTTTTGTCAATAAGGCTCATTATTGAACTTCTTTCAAATAGGCACTCAGTTCCAATCGAGCGATCTGATATCAGGCAGGAAAGGTGGCTGCCGAAAATCAAGCCCCTATTCTTGCCTCTGACCAACACTTCCACCTTCTCACTCCCACATATTGCCCCCTTCCTTCACAGTCAAACAGAGAGACCGTGGAGTGCATGTTCATCAGACCTTGAAAGTGGAGTTGCAGCTAGACAGGACAGTGAAGGCAGTGTTTGGTACATTTGCCTTTATTGATCAGTGCACTGAATATGGGAGTTGGGGTGTCATGTTGTGACTATACGGAATATCGGTTAGGCCACTTTTGGAATAATGCATTCAATTCTGGTCTCCCTGCTATAGGAAAGATGTTGTGAAACTTGAAAGGGTTCAGAAAAGATTTACAAGGATGTTGCCAGGGTTGGAGGGTTTAAACTATAGGGAGAGGCATGGATAGGCTGAGGCTCCCCCCTCCCCGAGCGGTGGAGGCCGAGGAGTGACCTAATAGAGGTTTATAAAATCATGAGGGGCATGGATAGGGTGAACAGCCAAGGTCTTTTCCCCAGGGTAAGGGTGCCCAAAACTAGAAGGCATCGGTTTAAGGCAAGAGAAAAAAGATTTTAAAAGGGACCGAAGGGGCAACTGCTTCACCCAGTCGGTTGTGCATGTATGGAATGAGCTGCCAGAGGAGGTGGAGGAGGCTGGTACAATTACAACAACATTTACAAAGGCACCTAGATGGGTATATGAATAGGAAGGTTTAGAGGGATATGGGCCAAATGGGGCTAGAAAATTTAGGGGCTGATCATTATGGACGAGTTGGACCAAACGGTCTGTTTCATAGAACTTTACAGCACAGAAGGAGGCTGTTTGACCCATCATATCTGTGCCCGAAAGAGCTACCCAGCTAGTCTCATTCTCCAGCACTATCTCCATAACCTTCCAAATTCATCACTCTCAAATAGATGTCCAACTCTCTTTTGAATCCCCATATGGAATCTGTTTCTGCCACTCTCCCAGACAGCACATTCCAAATCCTAACAACTCTGAGTAAAGAAGTTTCTCACCATCTGACTCCTAGCTCTCTTGCTGATAATCTTGAAATTGTGACCACAGCTTATTGACATACCAATTACTGGAAACAGAATATTCTTTATCCTGACAAAGTTGTTCATAAAAGTGAACACCTCAATAAGATCACCTCTTAATCTTCTCTGCTCCAATGACAAATGCCAATGTAAAACGTGTGTATGAAGGACAGATGATGCCAGTAGATATTTGACATGTCTACACGTCAAAACATGATTAACGAAAGATTTTAAGTGCAGAAAACCAAGAGCATTACTGAAAGCTTCCGCAATAAAAAAAAAAGAGAAAAAAAGTATTTTATTTCTTTTAAGCAAAGTCTGTACACCTGTGACCTCCCTCCCACAACCTTTTATGCCGATCTCATTCACCTGTGCCCGTGATCCCTCAGCAATACACACTTCTGACTAACTGGCAGCTCTCGGCAGACAGGATTTTTACAGGAGGAAACACAAATACACAGATATTGCTCAGAGAGAGAAAAAAAACAAAGTCAGCTTTTGGTCATCCTCTTCGTCCTTAATCCCAGGGAAAACTCAAAACTGGCTAGTTAAGAGCCTGGCGTACACTCGTACTGTTCAGGCGTTCCCCTCATAAGCAACCTGGGTTTCATACCAGCAGTCTGCGACCGGTGCGTTGAATCAGTATCAGTTACATTAAATTCTGCCCACAATCTCAATTTGAAAGCTTACTTACATGCACAAGAATACAACCACACAATGTCCTTCAACAAAAAGAAATTATTAGTGATGTCCACAGCACGGTTTGTATTTGAAGTAACAAGCTCTCAGGACCAACAACAGAGAGAACAGCACCTTCAATGAGGAAGCTAGCAATATTTCCCAGGTTCTTTGCAGCAAGAACGCTGGGGCAGGAAGGAGAAGGGAAGTATCTTAAATTGCTGGAGTCTCCGTTCCATTTTCCATGGGGAAAAAATAAACATCATATTTAGAAATTGCATCCTGATTAGAAAGTATAGTAAAAGGGATCATATAGACATTAGGATTCCTTTTGCTTTGATCTATACCCAAGAGCAGGGTAGAAGAGCAGAGAGAAAGAACATTAGGGAGG